CCCTGCCCTCAAATGATGCCCATCCCATGTCACCCAGTACCCCCTAATTTAGGGTATTCCGTGTGCTCCCAAAGCAAGTCTACCTATGCCACATTTTTTCATTTTTAATCTTGCTTGAACATCTTATTTCAAGCACAGGACCTCATTTCTGAATGTCAAGCACAGGACCATGACGCTTTTTCAAATCCTTCTCACAACGTTATACCTATTAAAGTTCCACAGTGCTTTGTTTTTTATTACAGCTGCATTCCTGTTACCCTTAGTCATTACGTATGTTTCGTGCTCCCTTAGGTACTCACCCCCGTATTCTAGAACGTTCCTTCTTTCAACGCTTCAGCTTCACTTGAGAAAGCTGATGGGAGCGCCGTCACTAGGCATGGCAAGTCACTGCATATCAGCGATAATCTGCTGTGATTCTTGAATAGCGCAGCGTCATTTTGAGCGGAGGTGTGGCGCAGCGCTCAACTCTGTCAAGTGATGCGTGAAACTCGAGTCGAGTAGAATTTGTGAGTACGGGGGTAAGCCACGTTGTTTATCCATACGCCCAAATATTTCCACTTATCCACTATTTTTAGCATGAATTTCTGTATCTTATGCTTACTGTCTTCACTCTTATTGAAATCATTATTGCCAGTTTTTCCCTACAGAGCTTCGAATTTAACCTGTCTCGTCCATTGCCACAGATGTCTATCAATCCTTGCATATCTTTCTTGTTGTAAGCATTCATACTATATCATCTGCATACACCAATGCTAGTAAAGACTGTTCAACGTGTGTTGGTTGCTTGGCAAAAAGAGAGGCTGAATCCGGGTCGAATGCTCTCTAGTTTGGCTTATAGTCTTTGTAGACACAGCCTACGTGGTAGCTCCGCTAAGCTCGCCCATGTGTGGAAGTATTGCACAAGAAAGTAGGTACAGTACATCGCCGCTCCTTCTCTCGCCATTCGCCCTCTATCCTCTCTGCACCCTACTTCCCGTTTTCTCGACCGTATGTATACATAAATAGAGTGAAGCGCGAGCCTCACTCTAAGTCGTTCACAGGCTGGTAAATAAATGGTTGCGGCACTAATTCTCGTCTCTCATCAATTTACGCTATTAAAATAACTACATGGCGTACCCACAATAAGAAATCCATTCGTATTTCCTCACAATCCCTTCGGGAAAGTGGGGACAATTTTTATTACAATATGGCGACCTCGATGGTGCAGATCTCACGCCTAGGTTTCAACTCGGAGCATTTGGGCCCGGGCGGTGTCCCAACCAGTGGCAAAGTGGCAATGCAGAAATCAAGGCACCCCTTAGGCGAGAGCACGGGCAGCTGACCGTTGAACAGACCCGGAGGCAGTGTTACGACGGGGCGGAAACTCCCTATGCCTCCCATGTATTCGCTCTCAGCAGCGGCAACGCCACTTCTACCACTGGTGGTTGCCGGGCATTCTACTAGAAATAAATCACGAGCGAAAATTTTTTTCGTGACATTACTGGTGAAGTCCTCAAATTGAGGGAAAGGAGGAGAATTAAGAGTAGGTGGGATGCCGCTGAAGCCCTCTTTTCCCACTTAGCATGCAAGCGGAATGCATTCGCGCCTTCTTTCAGGTCCTCTGGCGGCTTGAGCATTGCGGTCACAAAATTTCGTGAGAATCTTTTTTTTAGTATAATCTCGTGTTTTCTGAAGAGGCGAAAGTTAAGCTGACTGATTTCTTAGTAAAACGAAACTGGGTCGATTCATATAAAATACACATTGAACTCATGTTCCGCATTAAAAGAAGAGATACATACTTGTAGTCTGAAAATGTTAATCAATAAATTCAGCTTTAATTTACAATGAACATATGGACGTATTAAACAAAAGTTGAACCCAGAATATCTGAACCAATGCAAAAATTATCAACAATCATGAGTAGGACGCACCGCATCTGACTCAATCACGTTTGTTAAGACGGCTTTTGCTACAGTAGTTAAGTACCAAACGAGATTAAAGTTCAGAGGCGTCGAGAGGCTTGAATTGATCAGAAGTTTTTCGAGCAAGAACGTCACTGGAAACAATGTTTCGGCAAGCTGACTTGTCTTCCTCAGTTCAACAGCGTTGCCTTGACGAAGAGAAGTTCACTTGTCGAAACGTTGGCTCCATCGAAATTCTCTGTATTAATTTTTTGAAGCAATTAGTTTATCACGAGTATTTTAGCAACACTATTAGAAGTTAACTAAAAGTCACAAATTTTGAAACCACGGCTAGAATTTTATGAGCAGGGAGAGGCCTATAATTACTTAACATCATTTGAACTACACTCCAAAAGTAAAACAAATAAAACTATGTAGCTGAGCAAACTCGAATACAAGCCTTTCGACAAACACATTTTTCGACAGAAGCTTGGCTGCCGTCTTTCCCAGTAAGTCAAGCAACACTGCACTTCTATCAGTCCAGTCAGCCTTGCAGAAAACTGGGTTAACTCATATGTACTCATGCAAAATCAATACCTGTCTAAACAAGGTCTCCAAATTCTTGTGCTCACCCGCTGCCTCTAAAAAACGCTGAAGAACCTTCGCGGAACTAGTAATCCCCAGGTTAGCACACCGCAAAGCCACATAATACTTGTGTAGCCGACTAAGGCAATTTGAACAAATTCAGGGTTGACTTGGCCCGCGTAGCTCAGTGCGAATTCCCTTCTCTGCCCACCACGATTTCCTGTCTTTATCTCTCCCGTAGGTGATACGCCAACCGAGCAAGATAACTGAGCGCGATCCAACTTTTGTAAACACTTGTGAAAGCCAATAAATGCGAAAATTCACATCAACGCCACTCCGTTCAGCCGGCTCTTGAGATGCCCGGCAACCCCTGTACGAGCATGCATGTTCTTTGAAACTGAAATTAACGCAGAGTTTCCGGGCCCTCGTGTTACCAATCAATCTTTAGAAAATACCCAATGACAAGGTCCAGCTTACCTTACTTTAGCCTACCCAGATTTTTAATTACCCTTTGTTTAACCCACCACCAAGACACAGCGCCGTGTAACAACGATAACGTATGCAGATAACGTAAAATCTATGACATTCAAACGTATAGGTTGCTGACATGACGGGCCCACCAGTGATCGTGCGACGAAAACATCTGAAGATGCCATGTAGCACAACATTGTGATACCACAGTGACGTCACAGTGACTTAACAATTGCAACGAAAATTCTGCTGATATGTCATGCCGCAATGATATCATTAGGCAGCGTCGTTATATAGTGTTTATCTGTTGTAGCACTTGCGTTGACGTCCAATGCATAGGCATGCTATCCCGCTTTATCAGCCTAAAAAAATGCTTATCTGACCGGTACGACAAGCGTGGGTTAAAATTTTGTATTTGTCTTCGCTTCGTAATGCGAAATGAGGGTTAGACGTTAGTACAAATAAAGCAACATTGCTTGCCAATAAACTGTCGCTTGTTAGGGCTTCGTCTGCCTGCCTGTTGCTCTTCTTGTGTTCATGTGTTGTTTGTGTGCAAAGGTGCACATCAAGATTTAGCGTTAATACAGCTCAAGTTGGCCAAGTGTGTTGAAAAGCTGACACGTATAAGCCCATAACTAAAGTACATGGAAGAAACACGGGAAATCTTTTAACGCTTTGAGGAGAACACCTGTCCTGGTGATGATGCTACAAAAGGTCCTAAGGCATATATAATTTCACTCTAGTGTAAATAGCTGCAAGTTAAACGAGGAAAATTGAAATGTTGGTGTCCCTGAAGCTGAAAATTTGCTTGCCGAGGTATACGTACATTGCCAACTTTATTGCGTTCCTGCACTTAATGCAACAGACATCAATGCCATTCAACCCCCTCCCGTGCGAATAGGCAAAACACCACGTACTATATGCTTGCGGTTTATCAGACAATCTTATGGGAACGAATGGATGCGTATAATCAGGTAAAAATGATAGAAAAAATTCTAACCCGTTTATCCAAGAGAATTTGACTAGTCAAAGCCAACTGCTTCACGAGGTTAATGAACGGGTGAAACGAAATGGGTGGAAACTTGTACGGTGCAAGAACTGAAATGTTTTGCTGCGAAAATTTGATGGAGATTCCTTCGTAGTAATGCGTCACAGGCCCGACATTGTGACCTAAGCCTGCTATAGTTGCTTACCGTATCCCGATTAATTTTGATACTCCCAATGGCTGCTCATACCCCTTTTCTTCCACATGATTCGGATTGGTTTTGTGCCAAAACCCCACGTGCATCGACAGAAGTGCCTTCATCTCAATCTCTTGCTCTAAAGCGAGGATGCAGACATAAGTCACAATACGAATGGCGTTCATTTTCCGTTTGACCCAGTAGTGCTCAATGAAACTTCACGCAGGGATGATGATGACTTGCTCAAATTTTCACCTTATCGATTGTATTGTGCGAACACAAGTTGTCATCAAAGCACGCTTTTACAAAAAGATCGAGTAAACTCCGAAATGCTTTAAATGCTAAGTGCGGAGCACTTGAAGGGCTTGGCCTGTCCTCTATCTGTACATATATTATACGGCGTGATAACGCTCACATTATAGTGTTCACTATAGGTCATAAGAAGGCCAGCAATGCTCCGTCCCGAGTTAAATATACCGAACGAAGTATAACGAACTAAGTATCGGTGTGCATTTTACAGTTTTCTCACAAAACGGTCTTTCGTGGTCTTTGAGAATTATAGAGAGCGGAAAAAATTAACACGTTATGTTTTTCGTAGAGTTGACAAATGACGCGGAGCCCTGAATTAATTAACAATCATAAGTGTTCTTATAAAGGAAGAAGCAATATAAATTCCGGCACTCTCTCAGCCCAAACAGTTCTCATTGTTATCGCCATGCAAGATGGTCCAGCTATTACACGTCACAATAAACTGCCGTTCATAATCAGAGCCCGTGTTCATGCGTCAAGCTATTTGATTGACTCAGCTAAGGGCGCGGCTGGTTTTGTTATTAGCGCAGCTGTCGATGCCACGGTTACATTTTTTGCTGCGCCGCGCCGCGCAGGCAGTTTGCCAGTCCCGTTCGCAAGCTTCTCGAGTGTACACTATCTGCGAGATAGTGGGAATGACTTCTAAGAAAGTAGTATTTTCCGTGAGCAATCAGAGTGCTGTAGCTGGAAGTGGGACACGTTTGTGCAACCTGGTGTTTTCTAGCTTAACGTTGTCCGCGCAATGGCTAACTTCTTAGGAAGTTGTCGTGAGCTGTTACTGGAACTGGGAATATATTTGTGGTGCGCTGTGACGCGGACCCTTTTTGCTCTGTGGTTTTATTGGCAGAGGCCTGTACCGTTGCCACCCGTAATCGACAAGCTTCTTCTTCGCTCTGCTACATCTCTTGCTGGCGACATCAGAAATGGCAAGGTGCTAACTTTACAAACTTGCTTGTACCAGAAACGTCTATAGTTATAGGCCATGTGATTCGTCTCTAAATGAGGCCTTATGCTTAATTAATTAAAATCATTCAGCCTAGCAGAGGGCTGCTTTTTTGTGGGTGATGATAATTAGCAGTTCCATTTTATTACTCGCTAAATAAACAAAGGTTCATGGTTAGCGCTAATACAAGTGAAGTGTGAATACCAGAATTCAAAAAATATTGATAGTTATTCGAAGCACATTTGGATACAGAGATAAGCTGAAAATCCGAAGCCTGGGTTAACGTGATTCATCAATCGTTCAAATAATACTCCCGCCCTTCGCCCTGTCAATGTTTTTCACCAACTGTCTGCTATAATATGTTTTATAGTTCATATTGCATGCAAGTAAGCGAATAACTGCTGCGATATTCGGGAACACTAGATTATTACGCAACAGATGCTTGCACACATCTTACTTTTAACATCTGGTGTGGGGCCAGGGTGCTATTTCAGATAGTAGGGCAGGCATACGTCAGCATTTTCTATATTTTTCTGAATCGGATATCATGTGGGGCTCTAACTATAAGCAGACAAATCATGAAGAACCATGGGAACATATGTGGGGTTTAACGTCTTAAAACCGCCATATGAATATGAGAGACGCCATAGTGGAGGGCCCCAGAAATTTCCACCACCTGAGGTTCTTTAACGTGCGCCTAAATCTGAGCACACGGACCTACAACATTCCCGCCTCCATCGGAAATGCAGGCGCCGCAGCCGGGATTTGATCCCGCGACCTGCGGGTCAGCAGCGGAGTACCTTAGCCACTAGACTACCATGGCGGGGCAACCATAAAAAGAGCATATCCAGTTTCTTTTTGAGCTTTATTTATCCATGTATTCAAAATAAAATCTTTGCAGTTAAAAGCATGATGACGAGGGCCCCATAGTCGGGCGACTGCAGTTGAACTCCTATCGTTGACAAACTGTACCTATGAATATTATAGGCAGCATTGTTATTGTTCCGAAGAACTTACATTCGACTACATACTAGCAGTAATCAACCCTCCTTCCTTCATCTACGACAAAGACAGAAAAGGCGTCTTGCCTTGCTGATTGAGAAAAAACTGAAATATATTTAGAATAGATGTGGACTGCCTTTGACCCTCTACTGCCTATTGTCGCAAATTTGAGGCGTAGTAAAAAACTGTGAGTGAGCAAGTCACGCAATGCGTTCTGCCTTTAATTCCGGCTGTGAAGTACTAAAGGAAAACGTAGCTTTCAGCATGTGAAGTCTTGTGCTGTCTTGCGAAGTGTATTTTATGCTAGAAGCAGTTATTCTGTAGCTAATGGCGGAGAGCGTGAAGCGGGTGCAAGAGTATTTACTTCTTCGTTCTATCTCGCCGGGTTGACGCAAAATTCATCTTCAGTCATTTTATTTATTCTTTGTATACGCGCTCAAGACATTGCACACGGCGTGTTGCGTAGTTCTGGAATGCGTTTTTCACTGCAACGTCCTCGCTCGCGTGGCATGTTGAGAATTCGTGACGTACTTAAGTTATGCGTTAGAGGTCTATTTTAAATAATTTAACTCTGGGCTCAATAAAAGATTGCTATTTAAGGTTGAAAATCGAAAACAATTTATTTTCTTTGATGGTTTTATAACTGGAACATTTGAGGGCCAAAGAAAAAAATTAGGGTCTATACATATCAGCGGCATTTCCTAATTAAGCCAGGGACATTGAACTTCAACTTCGTGCATCAGACTTTGTGTATCCTCAACTTCGTGTATCTTCACTGAACTTAAAACATCCACCATAGTTATCTATACCAATATTAGAAAAAATTCCTGGTAAGCGTCACATAACTGTGTTGTAAAATTATCGCTAAATGTTTGTGTTCTGTGTGAACCACATTGATTCGACGTGTCACATTAGTTTGCCTCAACATCTTAGCTTATGAAATCAATATTATTGATGCGAAGTAGCACTTCGACAAGCTTCATTCAAGGCCTGTAGTGCGGAAGATGTCGAGAATAGCTGACAGACGCTGAAGGGGGGTCACAAACGCAGACTAAATTCCAAGGAAATCGTCCAGGTAAAAAAAAGAGGCAGATCGCACGTACAATGAGAATCGATGATATGCGAAGCACGAATGAGGAAGGTTGATATGTCCCTTTAAAATAAGCCCAGTGTTACGCGGCAGAGGTAAAGTATGCCATGCATGACTTCCATGTCATGATTATCTTGTTAGGATGTGTCATTTATCTTCGTCATTTATTCACGCCACTTGATACCAAATTTGGTATACGTGGAGCTAGCGAAACGGCTGCGAGCGAATCATGAGCGCTTCATGTAGTCATGTTGTTACATGACACGCATCTCATGATTATCATGTTAGGGTATGTCGCTTGTGGTCACCGTGCAGTCATGTGATACCGTACCAGTTTTGCAACATGTCATGTGAACGACACCACCACAAGGGCATCGAGACCACAGAATGTAAATCCTGACATTCATGACATGCATGTCTTGATTTTCATATTTTGACTAGTCACTTATGCTCATCATAGAGTCACGTTATGGCATACCAAGCTTGGTATCTCTACCATTACTGAAACAGCCAGGAGAGCTAGAAGTCGTACTGAGCAACTAGATAGATAGATGGATGGATGGATAGATAGATAGATAGATAGTAAATAGATAGATAGATAGATAGATAGATAGATAGATAGATAGATAGATAGATAGATAGATAGATAGATAGATAGATAGATAGATAGATACGCTCAATGTCGCCGAAGTTAGCTAAGAAATGCTTCACACTTAAAAGGCATGTTGACCACCTGAAACCTTGTAGCATAGAGTCCACCATACGCTCGAACGTGGAAGGGGCGTTGCATAGCCCAAACCGCAGAACTGGTATAGGTCATCGCAGAGTTACAAACGCAGTCGTCCCTTGGTCTTCCTCCTCGACAGCAATATGCCAATCGCAGGAAGAAAGGGGTATGAAATCAGAGAGGTATCACGCACCTTGGAGACAATGAAGAGCATCATCAATGTGGGGCAAAAGGTAGACGCCCTTTTAGTTGGTTCGATTCGGATAACGGTAATAAACGCAGAGGTGTCCAGCGTCTGCACTGGACCATAATAAAGTTTTTTTCACTCACTCACTCACTCACTCAATCACGTGTCATCTTTGTTTTTAACGAGCAGAGTGGGAGATGCCCAAAGGCTGGAGGAGGGTTGAATAATCCCTTTGTCTAGCATCTTGTTGAGTTCTTGCTGAGTTATCTTACACTCGGTGGTACACTCTATTTCACACATCATGTGCAACGTTGCGAAAGCTAGCGAGACATGCTGCAGCTAATGCGTTCGCAATAAAATTGAGTTCAAAGTTCTCACCACCAAAAATTTAATCTTTATTTCGTTATTAGGGTGAAAAGTAATGGAAGATATTATGTGCCTTACAAACAAAACGCTGTTGAACGTCTGTTATTATGTGGCTATATAGCCTGGTTTTCAGGTGATGTCCCATGTAGGCTCTTTACTCTGAAAACGTGATGATGGCAGCCACTTGGACTTTCAGTGTCTGTGCAGAATAGGACACCACAGGGTCGTTCAGTACCCGCATTCTTTTATGCTCACTCCGCTTTATCCTGTTCGTCAGTCGCGCCAAAAGGGAGCCAAAAAAATGGCAGCATATCCAAGTAGTGAATGATAGACAGTGGGGCGAAGCATTCGTCCGTCCATTCGTTTTTGCTTCCATCTGTCCATGCGTCCGTCTGTGTGACCATCCATGCGTCCATCTGCCCATCCGTGCGTGTGCGTGTTCGTGCGTCCGTCCCTGCGTTCGTCCATGCATTTGCCCCAGCGTCGGTTCATGCGTCCATCCATGCATCTGTTTGTGTGTCCGTTCGTCGATCTATTCAACACTCCAAGTACCACCATCTCGCATTTTTTTCATCATATATTCCCCATTTAGATGCACCGCCATCCAGCGGACATTCCAAAAACTATACGAGAGGTGGCACGCGCACACTTCCTTAAGGCTTGCGCTTCGGGTCTACTTCCCACCTTTAACCACTTCGAGTGCATGGTATATACTAGTTTACTGTATTCATGGCACTGCGACCCGACGTTCGCTAAACCTCTTTTAAACCAAGGAGGTTACGCCCAGCATTTATAACGTGGCAAACTTTTCTTGTCAGATAGTGCTCAATGTACATGTCAATGGCTGCTAGTGGGAAATGAGAGACAGGAGAATTCGGCTTTTACTTTCTTACGGCTTGCACTTCGTATCCACTTCGTACACTTCCCTTTTTATTTCCTTAAGGGCACCCTCAAGGTAGGTATTACATCAGAGTGGGGTTACAATTGAGTGACATATATACATAATGATAATACATAATTATACATAATTATACATGAATATACATAATTGTGAAACGAGGTGTTGAACCAGCAGGAGTTGACTCGGCGAACGAAAGCTTTATTGAGCGCAAGGGCTAACTGAACGCAAGCCTGCGATCACCGCAAGACTTCTTCCTTTTCTATATTCGAGCTCCATGCCCACTGCCCTCGTTACAATACAAAAATGATAAGTAAACAGGTGGTGGTGGTGGTGCAGCAGGCGGGGTTAGCCTGGCCTGCATGGCCGGGAATTGTTCCGCCTGAGCATCTCCTGAATTCGAAAATTGTCACCACGTGTCAGACAGCCCAGTGTCTCGCAGAAAGACCAACAAAATTCATTGCACGTTCCTCCTAGTTTCCGCGGGTTCTTTAGGAAAAATGACATCATTAACTGTACAATGCCTATAACAGCCTTTTCGCAAGGTGCGGATCATCGCTGCTATTTGCACATCAAACTGTGGGCAAAGCCAAATAAAATGTTTGATATCCCCGATGTCACCGCAGAAGGCAAAAAACGGGTAAGCGTATCTCCCAGTTTTGAATGACCAGGTCGGGGTGTATGCGGAGCCGGTTCTTATGCGGTACAACAGCGTCGC